CTTTCCCTTGCTAAGAAAGGCTAGATTTTGATTTCCCATTCTGAAATACAAAATAAGTATCAATGGTTATTCTGCTAATTCACCTACTTACACTGCCACCACACCTGAGTTGTGGTGACATGGTCAGTCACCTATGTCAACAGCAGACATCTTTGAAACTACAGGGTTCAGGGGAATATAGAACCTGTATGAAAAATATGCAAAATGGCATTTCTAAAATTATTTACTTTTTGTTAAAATATATAAAACTTTTAATATTTTCAGGATTTATCAGAGATAATTAAGAATCTATTTCAGAGTTTTAACAAGATATTTTTAGTCTGTAGAGTTGCCACTAATATAGCTATAAATACTGAAGTGTCACTTGGGGATTGAGTAACTCCAATTAACATACTAATTTTCCCCCTCACCACATATCTTCTACATTAAAGGGAAAATATTGTTTTCTTCATGTGAGATATTAGCCACGTTAAAATAAATTAAAATGCTACTATCTAAAATCTAAAAAGGAACAGACATATTATTAAACAAAAGCTAGCCAAAAATCTATACTAGATACATATGTATACCTAACATAATACCATGTATAAGTATAGTATTGCAATGTATAAGCCAATATAAGCCAATACAAAGAGCCCTTCTCTTTCCAGCCCCTCCCAAGTAACATCTATAATATTAGAAGACAAGCTGCAAATCTGCACTACGAAAGGACAAAGATAAATGAAGAGGTGAATACACAGGCTGACTAAACAAAGCTACCTACACATAATTTCAAAAGCAAAATCTAGGATGCTTTCACTAAACAAATTTTAGCTTGAAATTTTTTATAAAATGGGTTTATAAACCTACTCATATGCGTGTATGCAAATATTACATACAATTGTTGGGAAGGTTCTTTTTTGAGGTCTCTATCTCTTGAATTCACAATTCTTCAATTGGGAATCATTCCCTCATTCTTTTCCTATTTAAGAATTCGCACCAAGGTCTATATTTCAGGTCAACCCTCAGGGAAATCTAGCTCAGGATCTGGACAAAGGAAGGGCTTCAAACCACCTAGTGCTCTTCTCAAGCAAACCAAGCAATCCCCCTGATATATTACTTACTCTGAAGAATTATACATAGTAATTATCATTATATCATAATAGATAATCCAGAATAAGTCATACCTACAGCTTTCCTAATTTAGGCTGCAAAGGCAATGAATGGAATAAAGACTGATACATTCCACACAAAAAGCTGAATCTGGTAAACATTTCTAATTAGAAAGAGATCTTCCATATATGTACATTTTCATTCTATAAATACTTGCTAGAGCATCTGTCACCAAACTAGACCCTAGCTGAACATTTTCTTTAGTCAAGACAACTGAACGAAGCACAAATCTAATTCAATAATCTCTACATAACAAACATTCCTTAAATTATCTTTCATTTTATTTTAGTCTTTATCCAGATACTTAGAAAAAGCAAATAAACACAATAAATAATCTATTTCTTCTGAATTATTTTCTAAAAGACTAAGTGGGACATTTTATACTAATGACATTAGATAAAACAATTTTTCATTATACAATATCACTACCTTAAAAAGATAAAAAGAAATGTATGCCTGAAATTTACATTGCTCCCTTTACAAAACAGAATATCATCATATCATTAAATATAAAACTGATGTAACAAGTTCAAAATGTTATGCACTATTATATATGTATATATTTTAAAAACCAGAATTATATGTATTAAAATATATGTATGTATGTGTATGTATTTAAAACAAACAAACAGGAATTCGTGTTGAAAGCCCAGCCAGTTAGGTATTGGGGTGTGGGGGCTGCCCTTGTAAGCCTTACCTGTCGAATGATACTCTTCACACAACGAACTGGAAGGCCTTGATAGTTCGACTTGATGATCCACTTGAGGAGATGGTGGCCAAGCACTTCAAAGACCATGCAGACATCTGGGACGCGGTTAAGGATCGTTTGCGGACACATTTCCTAGACTGATGCAATTACTAAAAGCAGCATCAATACGGCACTTGGAAAACATTTCTTCATAAAATGCGACATTAATACATCAGTAACAACAAAAGTAGTCATTTACTATTTCTCACCTAAATAAAACAATCTAACATTTACTAAGTACTTATTATGTGCCATGTATTATTTAATGTGTACTTGTAACAACCATAGAAAATTATATACTTATCCCCACAAAGAAACGAGGATTAAACCTCAGAGAGTTTAAAGAACAATCCTGCATTACAGCTGAAGAGTGGTAGTGATAACTCAATCCCACACTTAGCCTTAATAAAAATGAGCAACACCGGGAATCTCACAGAAATTGATGAGAAAAAAAATAAAGAACTCCCCTCTCTTAAGTGTCCTGCCTGCCTGCCTGCCTACCTGCCTGCCTAAATTTCTATTCCAAAGGTGACATAAAACATTTTTTATGTGTTTTAAATTTATCAAACACAATGAAGACATTTAATCTTTTCTTCAATAATATCTTTCGTTGTGTAACTAGATCAATTTTAATATAGTTTTAAAGAACGTATGATCACAATATAAGATACGGCATTTAAGAACAACCTATAATAATAAAATCTCAGGAATGTGTTTGTTTGTTTGTTTGTTTTTAAATAGAAATTCTACTCAACCATCGACACTCCAGAACTATGGCCCATAATACAAATCTATCTGTCATTCATACAGGTAGATTTTAAATGGCTCTGAAATCTTCTGAGAATATCTGATTCATCACTGGAGGCCTATCAATAGGTTATTATAGAAGATTAGTTGATTTACTACTTTTTACAATATCTGTATCTACATCACAGTAACTACTGCTTTAAATATTTTTAATAAAAATAAAATATTTCTACAATGTTGAAGAACACGTGAACTACAAATTTATTCACAAATCATTGACAAATCTGGACTATGATGGTTTTACAGCATGTTATTTAACAGTAAAAATAGTCACTAGAATGTATATATGTTCACACACACACACACACACACACACACACACCCTTTTACAAATTATGTGGTTTCTCCAAAGAAACCATCTCCCTGTGAGCTGTCATAGGAACTGCCTTGCAGATCTGATACAAAGCAGAGGGGCCTGCCCTGCCTGCCCATAAACAAACAGGCTCACATGGAGAGCAGGAGCAGAAAAGGACCAGCTCTATCTTTCCGTCTATCAAAAAAAGGAAAAATGAACTCACTAATTAGGAGAAATTATACTGAGACAAAGGGCGAGGTGACATCAGCAGTTATTGGTACTTGCTAGTACCCTCAAGTCCAATCTCTAAAAGAAATACAGGCATAGTTTATATTATTGTACTTCGCATGTTGTTTTTTAACAAATTTAAAGCAAGGCTCTTCTTCTACCAACAAAAAGATTATGACACGCTTCAGTTCCAGTGTTCTGGAACTGAACCCACAATATCTCCGAGGTATGCCTATATAAAAATCTCAAATACAGAGGGTGTGAGAGGAATGCTTCCCTAAGGGATTAATGCTTAGCAGATGAAAAAACAGGATATCATTCTTGGATTTAAGCTGGGAGACAGCTTTGTCCTCAGGCTTCTGGAGCTTGAGCAGGTAAAATATCGAAACAAGGAAACAGCTAAAGACCAGGAAGGAGAAGACCCTGGCTCTTAACACATCCCTGACACTCATCAGTCACCAGGGTTCTGGATAAGTAACTCAATATCCCTGAACTTGTGAAATAAAAGTACAGCAGACACTTCCTTATCCAAGAAAGATATGTTCCAAAATACCTCATGGATGCCTGAAACCGCAAATATTACCGAACCCTATGTATACTGTTTTTTCCTATACATTCGTACCTATGATGAAATTTAAAAATTAGGCACAGTATATTTATTACAATATACTGTAATAAATGATCCATGAATGTAGTCGCTCTCAAAATACCTTATTGTCCTATACTCCCCCCTCCATTTTGTGACATAATAAAATGCCTACAGGATGAAATGGAGCAAGGCGAATGACACATTAGGCTACTGTAAGGGTTAGTTGAATACAAGCACTACTTGCCCATTAAATCACTTAGTAGCTGTCTCAGTCAGTCTAATAACTGAGACAGCTACTAAGTGACTAACAAGCAAGAAGTGTACACAGCACGCATAGGCTAGACAAAAGGATGATTCACGTCCTGGCCAAGACAGTGCAGGAAGGTGTGAGATTTCATCATGCTACTCAAAATGGTATTCAATTTATAACTTATGAATTATTTCTGGGATTTTCCATTTAATATTTCCAGACCATGGATAACTGAAATTGCAGAAAGCAAAACCATGGAAATCGGGGGAGCTGCTGTATCACCTCCATCAGGCAAACAAGGAGTTATCTTAGAGGATCCAATATGAAAATACTGGAAAGAGCATTCTGGATACTAAAAATAGTATCTCCTCTCCCTCTGCTATCAGCTGGAACCTATACTTGTTGGATTACTGGGCATTCGCTGATCCCCTGCAGCTGCCCTTTACCAACACCCCAGGCAAAGGGAAGGTGAAGACCACAGCTCCTTTCCACAACATCCAGTCCTTTCCACCTGAGCCCCGTCCCCCAAAACTAATAAGAATGCAAACAACTCACCAGCAGCCCAGTCAAAAGTGATATTCTCAAAAGAGAATGGGAAATAAGGCATAAGGTACCTTTGCTATATCTTCTTGCTAGACACATTTCTTTTCCAATAGGACCTAGAATTAAGATGAAGCCTTCTCTAGTTAAAAACCAAAAGGAACAGGTAACTAAGAAACTTTCATCTTTCAAGAATCATTAATTCCAGCGAGATAACTTCTTTATGAGAAAGCAAAGCAAATACTCTGTATGACACTGTAATGAAAAAGAAAAAAAAAATACTGAACAATTTAATCATTAAACAACTAAAATAAGTTGATACAGATAAGAGAAAAAAATAGTAGGAGAAAATCTTGTTTGTTGAAATATGATTCAAAACATCTCTTAAAAAGTCATTTTTCCATTATAAAGAAAATTTGTATCAAATAAGGAAATTATCTTTGATGAGTTTCATAATTTTTTAAGTTCATATTATTTTCAAAAGATGCATACTGACATTTGTAGAAGAAAAAACAGGATGTCTAGGGTTTGTTTGGAAATAATACAGCAAGAGATATGGGTAAATGAAACAACTGTGGTCAGACCTTGATAATTACTGAATTTGGGTTATAAATTTATAGACATCCACTGTATTACATTCTCCAAATTTATGTATATTGCAAAGTTTACATTATAAATGTTTTTAAAGAAGAACAATGGAGGTTTCCTTCCATTAAGCACTGGCTTCTGTGAGATTTACCAACCAGTATAGAAAATGTATCACTTTAGTTTTTCCAGGCTTTTCCAAAGCAGAAAAACACACCACCACAAACCAACACACTTCCATATTTACCTGGTAGAAAGATGATGCCCTGCAGGATCGAGTGCAACTCTGCCATGCTGACATTAGCAAAGCATTTTGCCTTTAATTGCCTCAACCTTACGTGATTCTTTGCAGCTACTGAAGGATACCTAGCCCTTGTGCATAAATTCATTAAAGTTTAAAGTAAAAAGAAATGTTGGGATACGCTTCCAATTACTATTGCAAGAATAAATTCCACTAGGATAAAAAAGATTAATAACTCTATGCCAAAATCAAGTCGTGTCATAAAAAATAATTTTATAAGATGCTACCGCATGAAAAATCCCAAAAGGCCCTTCCTTGCAGAGAACTCCAGGCATACCACTTATAACACTCAGTGATAACGCTAGAGGCTTTACGTGGAGAATGATACAGCACACAGAAGTTTATGCAGGTTTAAAATATTTCCATTTTTCAAAAGCAAAAAGAAAAACTACAGTATAATTCAGGCATTAGGAAGCAACAGAACTGTCAGAAAGGATACGTATTCCATTCATGCCTGAAATCTTGAAGTCATCGATTAGCTGCACTACCATGTCTTTATTTGGGTCACTGGGATCACTTTCTCTAACCTATGGAAAGAAAAATGAATCAAGGACAGAGGCATTTAAAACTGAAAGTCACTTCCACTAGACCAACCGAAACTTTTAATAAAAGTTGATGTCATTAAAAATAAGATTTGATATTTGAACTTACAGAAAATAAATTCAATTTTGATTTAGTAAAACCCAGAAAAATCCCTCTGTAAAATTTTAAGTTGTTAATTTTTCTAATAATCATTCACATTTTGCATTACTTACACATTTAAGCAATTTTATTTCATCCAAGGCTGTCTCCGTATAATGCTGGGCACTTTTTACAACTTTCATTGCAACAAATCTTTTCCCCCTTAAAAAAAAATGCATATTTTTAAATATTATTAGCAGAGGTGACCATTATGAGATATGTCCAATAAACAGAAACTTTTAATAAGTTTTCCTTTAAAACAGTGCTTTTCAAATTGTGAAGCAATAATTAAGCAGTGGGTTCATGGGTCAAAACGATCTTTTTTGTGTTTGTTTTCTTTTTTTTCCCCTGACAAAATAATATAGACTAGAAAATGTCACTCATCACATAGAATCAGGGTAAGAATTAGCTTGTAACACTTTTGCTTCAGTAGACACATACACACACACACAACACGCATATTTGTTGTACCGGATAGCAAAGGTGTTTCATACTATAGGTCATAGCTTTTAAATAAAAAAAGTCAGAAACCTCTGATTTGAAAGGCCTATACATTATTATTTTATATTTGAAATGTTTTTCTGGCAATGATAAATTATTAGGAAAAAATATTGCCCCAGTATAATGTAATTTCAATTAATAAGCCTCGGATATAAAGGCATAAGAAAGTGTTTTAAGATAAAAAGAAAATGAACTTCAAACTGAGGGGAGGAAATGTATAGCTAGGTGAGGCAGGCTTGCGTTAACAAGCACTTTACATGCCACAACAGAAACGGTGTGTCCCTCAGTCATACCTTCTCCCAAAATAAAGATGTTGAACTAGGCCAGAAATCAAATGTACAAATGACAAAGAGCACTTACTGCATATCCCAGCACAGCCAAACAGTAGAGAAGTGTCCCCATCCTAGCTTCCTAATAACATGATACCGGCCATTGAAGAGGTCTCCAATTTTCACTGGATGGTAGCCATAATTTTAAAAAAAAAAAAAAAAAAAAAAAATTATAATATATACTTATTTCCTCTAGAAAAATAGTAATAGAATTTCATCTCTTCCTTTGTCAGTTCTTGATGCTATTAAATGAAGCTGTAAATTTTTTTTAAAAAAGATTAAAATGTTTAATAATAAAACATTTTTTCAAGAATATATTTCATCAAAAGAACAATGTCCCCCCACTAGGACCCAGCAATTCCACTTCCGGGCATGTATCCAAAGAAAACCAAACACTAATTCAAAGTTATATGCAACCCTATGTTCACTGCGGTGCTATTTACAACAGCCAAGATATGGAAGCAACCTGAATGCTCATCAATAGATGACTGGATAAAGAAGTGGTATATATATGCTACGGAATATTATTCAGACATAAAAGAAAATGAAATCTTACCATTTTCAACAACATGGATGGACCTAGAGGGTATTATGCTAAGTGAAGAAAGTCAGACAGAGAAAGACAAATGCCATATAATTTTACTTATATGTGGAATCTAAAGAACAAAATAAACGAACCAACAGAAACAGAGTCATAGATACAGAGAAGAAACTGGTGAATGCCAGATTGGGGGTACGGAGGGAACTAAGTGAAAAAGGTGAAGGATTTAAGAAGTACAAATCGGTATTTACAAAACAGTCACAGGGATGTGAAGTACAACAGGGAATATAGTCAATAATATTGTTATAAGTATGTATAGTGCCAGGCGGGTACTAGACTAATTGGGGAATCACTTCATAAATTACATAAATATCAAACTATGCTGTACACCTGAAACTAATATAAAATAATATTGAATGTCGACTCTTAATTGAAAAATAAAATTTTTTAAAAAAGGGAAAAAGAAAAATGTCCTCTGCCTTTCTATTTATGTAACATAAAAAAAGCAAGAAACCACCCAGCATTCCATAATAATAATTTTAGGTTTTATATTTAAGTCTAGTTGTAAATAATAGGTATGTTAGCTCTTGAAATTTCCAAACAGCATTTTTTTCTTCTAAGCTATAAATTTAATGAAAAATTTTTTGGGTCAGTACAACATAACTCACCAAAATAAAGGATGTGTACTCTGCATAATTCTGTAAATTCTGCATACACTAAAAGTTTATCATCTAATGTATGACAATTTACCCTCCAACAGAGCTTTCTCCTCTTACCATTCTTCCACCAACCTCAAACTCCCATGTGAAAACAGGCTGAAGAGGGAACCCAATTAAGGTAGACTTCTGAGGGAGGAAAAGGGTGCTTCAAACATACATCTGGCCTAAAAAGTCCTTTGCTTTGCATTTCTAAATAAAATAAGCAGGCTAAATAAAATAAGTAGCATGTATAATAACATTTCTGTGAAACACACAAGAAAAAGAGTAGGAGGACAAGATATTAGCAACAAATACCTCTGGATCTAAAATTGCTTTTATTCTTTGAATCTGTATTTTATTCTTTTTATCTTTTGCTATTTCTTTCTGAAACAATAACTTTTCTACTTTTATTTTTTAGCATCTACTGCTCTTTTATTGCAAAAATATTATTTTTCATTTTTTAAATCTGGAAAATTCTTACAAATCAAGAAAGACGAGTAGTTTGTGCCTACTTTTGAGCCGCTCAAAGCAGGTGTAGGAAGTATCTAAACCACATCCTTCAATAAATCTGTAACTCTCACAGGGCGAGGAGTAATACTTCAAGAAATACTATGAATATTTATGAATACTAAATTGTGTCAAGCAGACACTGAGTTTCTAAGATTCTTATTCTCATACCACTGCACTTGCTTTTCCTGGATTTTAATACAGAAGTTATAACAATTTTGGTTTTAAAATATGAGCTAAAAGATAATAAATTAGAAATAAAATATAATGGGTTTAATGGATAGATGGGTGTTAACTATACTCATTGTGTTAATCATTTTGCAATAACACGTAGGTGAAATCATTAAGTTGTACACCTTAAAACTTATACAGTGTTGTATATCAATTATTTCTCAATAAAACTGGAAGAAAACATGGCTAATTACTTAGAAGGCTAACTAAAATTGAAAAAGACTGAGTTTACAATACAGTTTTAAACCATTAAAATTAACAATGAAAGAGAAGAAAACTATTATTTTTCAAATACTAATCAGGGGCACTGTGCTAGGTATATTATTTTCAAAACCATGTCCCATGAAATGAAAGTAAATTAAAATATGTTGCAAGCGTTCCACAGGGGGAGCAGGGCAGGAGAAAGGAAGAAGAGTGGAGAAGTTCTGTCTGGGAAATGACAAGTTAAACAAAGAAAAGCAGATTTCTTGACCAAAGGGGTTCTGATAGCCCAATGTCTTAACATGTAGTGGGAACTTCTGAGAGGAGAGTATGCTGCAAATTCCAGACATAACTGCTCAGGAAACCAATTCTTCAAAGAATCAGTCACATTTCACAGCACACTGATGTCTGTATCATTTCTTACAATCACTCTGCAGAGTACGTGGTGTTATCTCTACACTGATGATGTGGACATGGACACAGTTTCGGCGACAGTAAGTAGTAGGTGCAGGGCTGGAAACTGGGTTTGACTCCAAAGCCCATATTCTGTCCACCAGTAAGAAATACACTCCATGTTTAACAACTGAGGACTGTTCGCCAATCAGTATACAGGATACACTTGATATCTTAATTTTAAAAAGCCATCTACTACTTAACTGAGTATTATTGCTAACATTAAAGTCACTAAAGTTAAAAACAATTCAATTATGCATAAAGAGAAGAAATTATCACTATCGTATGTTTCAGGTGTGGATTCTCAAACAGCCAGAGTGCGTACTTATGAGCAAAAATAGAAGAGCACTCTTTTCAGTGTAATCACTGCATAAATGCAGCTGTTCCTTTTCTCAAAGGGACTGTGAAAGTTGAACAAAAGAAATTATTAGTTTAGTCCAGTTATCTCAGGAACCCACAGGACAGCTAAGAATATCATGGCTAAAAACAGGCCAACTAAAGAAGAAAGACATAAAAATAATTTTTAACTACAAATATAAAAGCAACTGAATGTCCTAAACTCTTATCCTTTTATTTTGAAATTTTGACGTACACAATTTGAAATTTATATTTTATAATCCTTATATTCTAATTCCCAGATCTCTACAGAAAATGACAGTCTCTTCTGACCAATTTTTCAATCTCTTCTCATAGAGTGGTAACTAAGACTCTTACTGTCAAAAGGCTGGAAGATGTCTCTCAGAGCAGACCACACTAATCCACCCAAAACCAAGCGAATTAGAGTAAACGGACTCTCCAAAACTGTCAGAAAATTCTCCAGTTCCCTGAGATTAGCAAACTAGATGTGCCATAATGTCCCCTAATGAAGTCTAGCACACAAGGAAGCTTGAGAACAGTCACAGATTAGACAAGGACCCCTCTTCCTCTTGGTACTTCACCAGCAGGCCGTACGGGATATAGGGTAACGGCCGTGCTGCACATGGGCCCCTCTCAGGGCATCAGTCAGACTCCCAGAAAGGGTCAATCACTTGAAGACTACAGCTCAGGGGTTTGGTTGATATATCTGTACATCGATATTTATACTAATTAATATAAAAACCATGCATTTATCACCTAGACATTTTCCTTTTATTCTTAAAAAAAAAATGTAAGTTAGGTTGATTTACAAACACAAGAGAACAAGAATAGGTTAAGTAATCATTAAGTTCACTGCTCTGCTTTCTTCTCCGACTCCTACTCCTCCAGCACACCAAAGAAAACTATAACTAAAGCTCCACCTATACTATTAATGAGGCTCCAAAGATGACAATTCTAAAACCATCCTCAGCTGTTTGGGGAGGATGTTGGTCGAAAATAAAGATGACTATTTTCTATGCCCAGCAAAAAACAGGTTCAACTTGTAAGAGTGAATCCAAAGTTCAGAACTCTGATAGAATGTAGTCTACAAGGATTTTAAGTAAAGTATTTTCTACTAAAGATAGTATAAAGTCTTCATTTTTTTCACTGATCCTAGTTTCTCAGCCCTGTGATGATGAGGCTTCTCTCCATAACCACTGAAGGCTTTCATAGGGCTAAGGAGATTTGAGAATCACCTCTAACATAAAGTCTTTAAAAAGGAAGGGATAGTAAAAAGATATTCACAAAACAGTAACAGACAGACACGTTTTGGGTCACTGAAGATTTCAATACTCTCTTCCCCCAAAATTAACAAAACAACTAGACAGAAAAGTGGTAAGGATATGGAAGATTTGAATACACCATCAACCAATTTGATGTGACTGACACTTATAGAACAATCTACTCAACAGCAAATATTCTTTTCAAGTACATGGAACATTTACCAACACAGACCATATACTGAGCCATAAAACAAGTTTCGGTAGAAATTAAAAGATTCAAGTCATATAAAGCATGTTTTCAGATCACAAGGAAATTAAATTAGAAACCAATAAGAGAAAATACCCCAAAATTGGGAAATGAGCACTTTTCAAAATAACCCATGGAACAAAAAAGGAATCAAAAGGAAATAAAGTATTTTATACTAAATGAAAATGAAAATATAACATACCAGAATCTGTGAAATGCTGCTAAAGCAGAACTCAGAGGAAAATTTAGAGCACTAAATGCCTGTATCAGAAAAGATGATCTCAAATAAATGACCTCAGTTTCCATATTAAAAAATCTAGAAGAGCAAATGTAACCCAAAGTTAGCAGGAGAAAAGAAATAATGAAAATATGAGCTGTAATCAGTGAAATAAAAAGCATAAAAACAATAGAGAAAATCAGTGAAACCACAGCTAGTTCTCTGAAAAAAAATAAAAATAATTAATAAATTTCTTGCCAGGCCAACCTGGAAAAAAGGAAAACACAAAATGCTAATGAGGAATGAGTGAGGTGACATCACTACATAGTACACAATTATGGAGGCAAGAGACTATTACAAACAACTTTATGCCTATAAATATAAATAGTTAGATGGACTGGACACAAAGCACCCAAGTTCCAACC